ATTCATACAAAATAATTTATTACGTGAAACGAAGAAAAATATATTAATTATAAATCACATTTTTCCTATAGCTAACATGTTTATAATTCGTATTTCAATAAGTCGTATTTATTGTAAAAAACATAGAAGAGTGTATTTCTTCCGAGTCTACTGAATATCTCGTGCTTTAAACAACGATTTACTCAATCTGACGAATATTGCAATCGGTCTAGTTTTAGCTTCAATGTCATATGCCTATAAAAAGCTTGTATCTCGTAAGTATCCAAGTATATCCGTGAATCATTGTATCTAGAATCCGTGCAATAAAAATTCTCCTCGCCATCTATAACTCTTCATTCGTATAGCAGAAATTCGGATGAGCAAATCCAGTCGGCAAAAGTTCGTTCAATCAGGCATCGTTTTGAATCCCGTTCCAACAAATGGAATTTTACGATATTCTGAAATATACGATGACTGTAGAACTGTCGTTTGCTCGTAGAGATAAATACACCGAATTTCTGATTTAATGGGAGGTCTTCGAGGCAGAAAGTTATAACGAAGCTCCGGAAAAATACTAAACGCGTGGCGAGCAACACGTGGTACGGCCGAGTAATTGAAAAATACGAGGAAGTCACGTCTCCGCGGAACAATGCTGCTGTGTCACACTCGCGAACTGTAATATACAACACTACGCCGGCCTTCCTGAGGAAGCAAGTTTCAAGAAACAGCTTGCAGTAATTGTTTACGTGTCTCTGTACCTTCGTTCACGTTCGATGTACCATTGTCTTTTCGTGAAAAGAATCGCTGTCTCTCGACACGTGTCTACCAACTGATAATAGACTCGAACTTGAAAGAGAAATACGTCGTTCTTTCACCTCTCATCGCTTGAATGCTTTAAATACTCGAGAGTGCAGAGCGTTTCAGAGAGGCAGGATCGAAAACTTGGAAAGAGAAAAAGGAACATAAAAATTGCATACAGCAAGTACGGCGCACAATGTTTTAAAAATCCGCGGAGGCGAAAGGAGGATCTCGATGAACCCGATTCGTTAATTAATTTTCTTCGACAGCAAGAACAGTAAGAACAATAATGAGAAGAGCACCAGCGTGAAAGCAGAGTACCAAACCGTGGAATTAATCAGTGGAGATTTCGAACGCCTTTTTCGTAAACGAACAAGCCGATCTCACGAGCTGATTTCACTTACATGGAAAATCCGTGGCATCTGCGTGCCAGAATTGTCGACTACGCGTCGAGAATTCTTCTTTCCCCAACCGCGCTCCACTTCATAGCTGTAATTCGAAAAGATTCTTTATTCGCATGCACGAGCAAACTCGAAGAACGTACACTTCCGATTAATATATAGTTCGGGCCGTGCCCGAAGCACGCGAATTATAGCATTACGAGAAGAGGCACGTCCCCGAAGGTAACGTAGCAAACGTGCAACACCTTCGAACGATAAAATTACGTACAAAGAAGGCTACCGAGACATTAATATAACAATTACGACGTTATCAGATGAGTTGCTTTTTTCGTTCCTTTTTTCTTCTTTTTTTCTCTTTCTCTCTCTCTCTCTCCGTCTACGATTACCACGGGTAAAGCTCTGAGGCGATTGTCAATGCGAACTGGCTGCACGGACGCTCGATACACGCAACATAGAAAG